CGCTGTGAAACAGACCGATGGGAGCTGACCAAAACCTTTCTGGCAATTTGGTAGCGGATCTTTGGACTGCATAACTTTTTGGTGGAAGCTTTCTCCTTTGTTTCCCCTGTTTTTCCGGATTGGACGCACAAGCAATGAAAAACACACATCATTGTAGAGGGGTCGTTGCAGCAACCGAGAAACGATCCATGCGCGTCGTGGGCCTCATGCGGCGCCCCGATGTCCGGCGAGCTCTCGCCGGAGCTGGGCTCAGAGGGCGAGGCAGGGGTGAGGTGAGAGTCCAGGCTGCGAGTTTCGGGGGGGGGGTTCACTGGGTTCACCTCACTTCCTGAGTTCAAGGACTTTGGTCACTTTTTGGGGTTTGGAGCATTTTAGTGGACTTCGGTGGTCACTTTTTGGGTTTGGAGCATGTTAGTGGCAAATCAGAAGTTTGGGCACTTTTTTGTGCCTGTCAACTCGATCGGAGGTGGGGAGTTCTCGGTGATTTGTTTCTCACAGGTTGGGCGGCCAGCCTGGCGGGACCGAGTAGGAGAGATTCATCAAAGCTCCTTAAAAGATACATGTTGCCCATTTTCAAAATGGCTTTCCCCACCAAAATAAAGGCAAACCACCATTGACAAGGCAATGTTCAGGTGTATAATGTAAGGATCCCTGTTCATGTTTGGTCCGGGATGGCCGCATCTTGATTGTAGAGCTGACGTCTTCACAACCAAGGATCTGTTTTTCACCATGTGGATCACAGGCTGGCAATTCACATCTCTAGCTTGGGATATGTCAGGCAGAGCAACAACCCACAGCAACATGTTGAAGGTTTTCTGATTGAAAGACATGGATCTGAGTGAATTATAACGACCTCACACGACCTCACTCCAAATGGTGGTTTATGTGGGGAATAGCCCCCAAACCACCTTATTTCAGGCTGGTGAAATATTATAATTCACCCAGATGGATGCTTCCCAAAAAGATGCAGACCCCCGGAGCTGAAGAGATCTCTAGTCCGAGCTTTTTTAAGGTTTGGCTGTCCTATGTTGCTATGTATCTTACAGGGGACGTCCCAAAAAATGCTTGGATAGAACTCCGCCCTGTCGGAACCCTCCGGAGCCATCCTTGAAAAGGAGCCCCCAACGTGTATCGCCGATTTCTGGACCTATCGATCAAATCCATAGCTTTCAGCGGGAAAAACCCGAATATCCCACAGCGGCCGGTGACTTTCAGGAGGATTCTGACGAAGGACTCGCTTCCGGCTTGCGGGCCGGTCCGTTTGTTTGGGGTCACCCAGGAGCTGGGATTCTATTGAAGACGCAGAGTTGTCAACATTTTACACGTGTCAAGAAAACAAACAACAAAAGCAACCCAGAGAGAATTCGGAAAATTAACACCTGTTAATGAACAGGAAAAGAAGCAAAAGCGACCCAGGGAGGGGTCTATTGCTTATTTGTGCCGATGCGGCAAGAAACTGATCAAACATGCGTGGGGAAGGCTTGGACCCAAAGAATCGCAGACCCAGCTCTGTTCAGTTGTTGTTTGTGTTTTTCTTCCTTTCCTTTTTTTTTGCGAAAACACACTGGGAAAAATCTAGTTGTGGGTTTTGCCGGGGATGTTTTTGCGGCATCTATGGAAGCCTTTCTTTTTTACGCACCCCCTTTTTGGTCTTGCAACAGGAAAACCACCACCTTTGGGGGGGGGTGCCATGACAAAATGACGCACTGTGAAAACAAGTTCCAAACTGAGGATGGCTCCAAACCGCCCGACCTTGCAAAAGCACGAGGCTCTGGTGATGCCACGGTCAAATGCTGCTAGGTTAAAAAGGCAGCTTAGCGAGCTGGTTGTGGTTCCATCTCTCTCTCCCTCTATCACTTCTCAGCTTCCCTTTGGTGCATGTTGCTTGGATGTTAGGACTTTGACTTTGTGCCAACTGATGGGTTTTCCATTAAACCACTAAACGTTAAACTTTTAGCAGGGGAGCAGAAAGCAACCGAGTTCCCTCTAGTTGGTGATTTGGATGGGGAGCTGATCACGGGGCCGGCTCTCCAGAATCTCTCACGGCCACGCGGGCAATTCTCAAATAGCAAGGCCATTTCCTGAAAGCAGGTGGTTTCCTTTTGGTGGTTTCCGGAGAAAACAAACAAGACTTCCATTTGTTTGACTCTTGTTTCCCCCTGTTGGTTTTAAATGGAATCGATCAGTTACTGGGGATATATTTTTTCCAGGGGGCGAAAAAGCAAATGGAAGATGAAGGGTTCCCTTATTCTAGCCTCTCTTCTGGACCTAGGGTGGTTTCCTTCTGGTTTCCCCTGAGAAAAATAAACAAGACCCAACAGATATTTCCTTGCGCCGCCAGGAGCTGTGCAGTCAGACCATGACAGCTGGGAGCAGCGGGCGGAGGAGCTGTCGCTCGATTTTTTTTCCGGAGCTCCCACCGATGGCGTGTCGGGCGAGCCGCGCCGGGCTTTTTGGCGGGGGGTTTCCCAGGGGTCATTATTCTGACGGTTTCTGGGGGTTCTTTCTCAAAGTCAGAAACGGGGTTGGTTTTCCTTTGGCCCACCACTTAATGAGTGACTTTGACCATGGTAAAATAATGAGGCCAGTTCCCGGCCGTGTGGACATGAGAGGGGCTTAAGGAGGGAGGGGTTGGAGAGACTGAGAAGGACAAAGCAATCAGGCTACAAGTCAAAATTAAGCCACCAGGGGACCGCAGGTTTTAATCCTTGGTTCCATTTACCAGGGTTCCATTTTGTGTACCCATTTTTGACCCACAGCCATCAAAGCAGCACAAAGTGCGGGGCAAGGTTCAGGACGCAAACGGAGAGAGAATGAGACACCAAAAGAGCACAGAAAGATCACTAGGCAAGGCACGTGAACCGTCGATGGCCGACAACTGTGTGTACGATCAATCCCTATCCACGGGAGTCACTATCACTGGTTCTGCGGTTGGGATGGGTGACAGCCGTAAATTGGGAACCACCTACCAACTGGCGTGTTTTGCGTGTTTTGTCCATCCACGCTGTGGGCCACGCAACCTTTTCTCGGAGGGTTTGTCATTAAAACACTGCAAGAACTGGTGCAAGAGTTTGTCCATCCCACTTCCAACACATAGTTACTTGGATGCTCGGCCAAGTTATAAGTGGGTTATAACCCAGGTTGCCAACTCACTAATTTGGCCGAAGCGCCACGCACCCAACTGCCCAATGCGCCTCGTCAAACTTGTGCCGCAAGGCATTCATCGGGTTCCCACAGCCCCCCAAGCACAAGTTGAGCGATTCGGTGCTCTAGGTGTGCCCTTTCTGCAGCAACAGACCGACAAACCTACCCTGCCAGGGCTATGCAAACAAAAAACACCTCAGCCTAAGAAGAATCTTGCAGGCAACGTGCCATCAATCCCTCTCGCGTGAGACGCCGCTTCGGCCCAAGCTCCTTAGCTGCTTCGGGCGGCCGGCCAGACTGACACGGACGAGAGTTGAGAGGCTCGGCGTGTGGGTCGGGTCCGAACGGTGTAGGTCCCTTGGTTCCTTACAGAGGGCTTGTCTTTTTTGAGGGTGCACCCTTTCGGGTGGATTCAAAGGGCAACCAAAAGGAGAGCCACCATTTTGGGGTAAAGAAGGCCCGTTCTTTCTGGATTTACATGGAAGCTAGAAGGACAACCAACACATGCCATGGCACCCCCATATGTGTCCCAGTGGATTTAAACTGCTGTTTGCCCCATAAGTGAGTTTCCCTTGGAAGGGGTGCCGCGTCAAAAGATCCATTGAACCATCCGATCCCTAGCTTCCTGGATACATTAAGAGCCACTTGGGGGATCGTCCAGCTGATATTTGTGCATTTTTCAAGACTGCACCCAGAAAAAGCCGACCCCGAATTCTAAGGATCCCTCTCAACTACCCACCCCCCTGGTACCTACCCCCCCCCACCTGATTTTCATTTTTTGGTTTTAAAGGGAATCTATTGCTATAGGAACATATGGCCATGGGGATTAACCTGTGGCTCCACTTTGGAGTGGATGAACATCCATTTGCCACCTAGGTTGATGTTTGTCAGGGGTACAGGGTTTTGACCCACAGCCATACTGTGGATGGACAAAATCCTGCACCACTTGGAAACCATGATTGAAACCATTGTTCGTTGGTATTTATGAGGGACTCATCCCTCTAGGGCCTCTTAGTTGGTGCGAAATGGATTTCGTCCATCCACAGAATGTTTCACCAGGGGTACAGGGTTTTGACCCACAGCCATATGTCCCCCCAAAACAAATGGATTTTCGTTTGGTTGGTTTTAAAGGGAGCCTATTGCAATGGGGACAAATATGTTCTCATTTTTTCCGAGCGAAGCCAATGGACACCTCGTCGAGCTCCAGGCTCACGCGATGTCCGTCCAAGAGGTGGCTGGAGCTTTGGAGCTTGCGCTGGGGGCCTAGCACCGCGACCGCCTCCCAAAGCTTTGGGGGTGACGGGGCGAGGAGTTCCTGACCCAGTCACCTTTGTTGATTTGTGGTGCTTTTGTTTTTCTTTATTTCTTTCTTATCTGTGTTTTTGTTTTTGTTTTTGTTTTTGTTTTTGTTGTTGTTGTTGTTTTTGTTTTTGTTTTGCTTGCTTGCTTGCTTGCTTGCTTGCTTGCTTGCTTGCTTGCTTGCTTGCTTGCTTGCTTGCTTGCTTGCTTGCTTGCTTGCTTGCTTGAGTGCGTGCGTGCGTGCGTCCGTGCGTGCGTGCGTGCGTGCGTGCTTGCTTGCTTGCTTGCTTGCTTGCTTGGCCACCGGGGTGGCCGAAAAGGCTTCCATGTCGCGTTTCGACGTTGCAGTCGCAGTCCGGAGTTGAGTAAATCGGACAGAAATTCGGGGACTGGACGCGTGCCATGCGCCGACTCAGGTTCAACGGGCTGAGCGAGTACTACAGCTCTGCGCTTACTTGTGGCCGCGTTTTTGACATGCTAGCAGCCATTGGGTAACCTCACAAGTTGGTTCTGCAGCCTAGCCCGAGGGATTTATTTTAGGCGGGCGTGTCTGCAGAATGGTGTTAGATTTCTCAGGTGCGATCGCCAACGATTCAAAGACATCGGCAAAGGAGAAAGAGGCATGCCTTGGGTTCTGCGATGCCGAGAGCAAGCTGGACAAAGAGGACCACAACTTGAAGCTTGCACATTCTATTTACGAATCGCGCTTGTTGCATGTGTGAAGCAGAGATGCCCGGCAAAATGCCTCGGAAGTCCAAAGGCATTTCCAGAAGTGGCCGGAAATAGTCCAGCGTTCCCCCAGCCTGAATCCTTCCTGAACTGTTTCCTTTACAGAGGATGATTGATTGGTCCACTACGGTCCACTCACCAACTATTCATCATGACTTGGCTGCTTGTGAGGACCCTGCAGCAAAGTGTTTTCCAGAGCAAATCCTTCGAGCCTTGGACCCTGCCACACCAAAAAGCCGTGGGAGACTAATGGCTAGGGCCCGTTTCGCGCGCAGGATGTGGACGGATGCCTGGCGATTTCCAAAGAGGTAGTCCAAAAGTTCGAGGCCCGGCAAATGAAAACTGCCGCAACTTCCTGCGGCACATCTCCACGTTTTGCTCCCCTTGCCCAAAGCGGATGGGGCGGATCCAAGCTTTTGGTTTTCCCATGTTGCCATTTTGAGTAAAGGCCCCAACAGGTTGACCGTTTGTTTCCAGGTGCAACCTGGGCAAGCGAGTTTAAGGAGGGACTTTTCGCTCCCAGCCGAATAGGTTCTCAGAGCCAGCAACATAGGTGTCCTTTTTGGTTGTTTGGTCGAAAAACAGATGGCTTTCGATTCCTGGTTTCCCTGGTGGTTTAGTCCACCAGGGAACCCCATCTATTTCCCCTATAAGGACACCTATGGCCAGCGACCTTTCCGCGAGAAGGGGGTTCACCGTCTGACTTTGGATGACGGAAGCGCGTTTTCGGGGGCAGGGCTTTGGTGGATTTCCCAGCTGGGTCCCCTGAGCCCTTTCTTCCTTACCTCTTAAGGAACATGGGCTATATGTCTGTAAAAGATTAGCTTCCCCAGGGCTTGGAGTTTTAAGGGGTAAGCTTCCAGTTGCTTCAGAATATGTTTTATGTTCCCCGGTTGGTTTTGGAGGGACTCGGTTTCACTACTGAACATATCTTCTCATTTTATGCATGGGAGGGGGTGTGAAATCTCACATGTTTTGTTTTTTTTTTTTGGGGGGGGGTGCCAGGCGATCAAGCATCCCACGGGTGTGGCCGATACCCTGAGCCCTTTGGCACTTGGCAGTGGGCAAGCGGGCAAGGAATGAGCTTGTTCCTCGAGCGAGTGAGCTCCACATGGAACTCAAGGGGGTCACAAGTAATTCTAGGTCCCCCAGTAGTGCGGGTTCCCCTACTAAAATAGACTACAGAAAAAACGGTACCCTTATTCTAATCTCTCTACTGGAGGACCTAGAATTGGGTCTTTGTGCTTATTTTCAAAAGCACCTGGCAGGTCCCTTTTCGTCAGGAGGCTGAAAGGGACATGGCAAGTTCTTCCCTTTGACCGGCCCAAATTTTGGTGGCAGGGCACAGGAGGAAGGTCTGCTCATGTTCAGCTGACAGTCGTCAACTTTCCCGCCCGCATTGTCCCAGGGCACTGGTTTGCGTTCGTTACGGTGTTCTCACGGATTCACGTTAGTTGAGGGTATTATTGCTAGCCTGTTAGTTTGGAGAGGACTTGGCCGGACGCCACCAATTCTCAACAAAACTGCATGGGACAACCCAATTTTCCATGCTTTTCGGGCAAAGCAGGCATTTTTTCCCGGGGGTCGACTTGTCCAACCGATCCACCGGGAGTTGCCGAGAGTGCCTTCTGAGGGATGATGGTGCTAGCATACCGCATCCAAGCGGATGTGCTGCGGAGCGCGGAAGAGGACAAGTCCAAAGATATCAAGGCCGGGCTTCTAGGGGCTGATTCCTTCTCGATTCTTTGCAACCACGATGTTCTTTTCAGACCGGGGCTTCTTTTTTTCAATGGGTTTCTGGAGGTTTTCTGGAATGATGCCTGGAAAGAATGGTCGGAAGAGGCACGCGGGTCGCAATTTGGCAATATTTGGGCTCAAGGAAGCAGACCCCCTGAACTAGGTGTCCTCGTGGCTTACCCTTTAACACCAAACCAAAACGGTCGGCCCACCCATATTCCAGGCATGTGGAGGAAAATGGACCTCCCCCCTTTTGCAACCTGGCATACCTTTTGTCTCACTCGTTGAACTGAACACATTTGGCGTCTTGCCGAGCTTCCCTCAGCCCAATCTTTTTACCTCTTGCTCCCCCGTTTTGCCACAGGTTCTCTTCTAGTTCCCCCCAATTTGGTTTTGTTGTCCCCTGTACCAATCCAATTCAGGCCCTTGTAGGTTGAACATCAGGGAAACCAACTAGTAGGGATACTTGGGGGAACCAGGGATACGGGAGGATTCCCCCTAAATGCACAACCCAAAAAAAGAAGGGGGGGAAACACGAGACCTGGCTTGTAACAACAACAACAACAACAACAACAACAACAACAACAACAACAACAACAACAACAACAACAACAACAACAACAACAACAACAACAACAACAACAACAACAACAACAACAACACAACAACAACCAACAACAACAACAACAACAACAACAACAACAACAACAACAACAACAACAACAACAACAACAACAACAACAACAACAACAAACAACAACAAACCACAACCACAACCACAACCACAACCACAACCACAACCACAACCACAACCACAACCACAACCACAACCACAACCACAACCACAACCACAACCACAACCACAACCACAACAACCACAACCACAACCACAACCACAACCACAACCACAACCACAACCACAACCACAACCACAACCACAACCACAACCACAACCACAACCACAACCACAACCACAACCACAACCACAACCACAACCACAACCACAACCACAACCACAACCACAACCACAACCACAACCACAACCACAACCACAACCACAACAACAGCAACAACAACAACAACAAGGCTTTTTTTTTGTGTGTGTGTGCTTGTATTGAATCAATGTGTTTGCGTGTTTGTTTGTGGTTGTGATCCCCCCATCTCCCCGCTCCCTCTGTATCCCCGCTTGTTCGTTTGTCCAACCACAGGAGAGTTGTGCTACGTGCTGTCACTCTAGCTATAACAAAGGTCTGCCTCGCTTCGGCCCAGTTTGCCGGTGTTGGATCTTATGCAGCAGGGGCCAAGAATTCCTATGGTGAGCTTTCAACCGCCAGGTCTGTAAGCCCTTTGTCAACCTCTGGTCTAATCATGTATATAAACTTGGGTCTGTCTGAAAAATAGGGGGATCCTTTCTGGATGGTTGTGCAGTTTAGAGGGACACCAAAAGGGAAACCACTCTTCCTTTTTGGGGGCCGGGCTCCAAATCCATTTCTTTTCAATCACTACTTCACTTTTCTTGGCATGTTTTTAGTGTTTGATTTCTCAGTTTTTGGGTTATGTTCATTTTTAAGTAGGGTGCCGCAAAAACACACCACGTTTTTTGCGGACCACACCAAGGGTTGTGCCCAAACTACATCAGTACAGCAAGCACCACGCATGTCCGCCCGCGCCCGCGTCCGCTGCGCGCGGCATTTCAGGCCGCGCTGAGCACGGCCGAGTCCCTGGCGCGGGAGCAGGCGGCGAAGTTCGGGGCGCAGAGCGACAAGCGGGGCGAGGCCGTGCTGCTGCTGGCGGCGGGGGAGATCAACTACAACAAGCGAGGCTCCGGCCTCCGGCTTCCTTTCGCCGTCTCTTCGGGTTCGCGGGCAGGGAGGGTTCCAGGGGGGGGAGGAAAGGAGGGAGGAAATGGCGTTTCCGTTTTGGGTGAGAACAAAAAGGCAACCAGAAAGAGCGGTCCCAAAGAACATCTAATTGACTCCCCTGTGTCTTACCAACGCCAACTAGAAGAGGGTCCTACTCCAACTTGCATTTTAGATTGAAACAACCAACCCCTCCACTGCCCGGTGGCCCCGAGCGACTGCGTTGGACCTGCAGAGTTTGGACCTTGCGGAGGAAGGGGAGTTGCCAGTTGGGTGTGTCTCAAAACGGGGGACTCCTTTAAGGATGGTTGAACAAGTAAACCAAAAGGACACCACCTAACTGGAGGGATCCCCAATTTGGAGAACCACCCACTGGTTTCAAGGGCAGTTGTTCAACGCTTGAGGTTGGCGCTTTGTTGGCTCCTGGGCCAAAGGCTCCGCCCAGGTCTCTGGTTCGGCCCATGGAGCTGGTCGATTCACACCGGGATGTCTGGTTTGAAGAAGGGGCACCTGCCAAGTTGACTCGAAGTCATCCTCATTTGGCGGGGCGACATTTTTCGGGGAGTCCTTTTTGCTGGCCTGTTTAAGTTTGTGCGGGGAAAAATCGCAAGGGGTGTCCCCCCGCCCATTGGGGGGACCCGATCGGTCCCTTTGAGAGGCGGGAAGAAGCGAGTGGAAGCCTTCGAAGATCTGAAGAAGGCGAAGAATTTGGCCAGCGAAGCTGGGGACAAGAAGGCGAGGCTGCGAGGGGAGCGCCATGTTGGGGCGGGGTGCGCTGGGGTCGGGCGGGCTGGGGTGGGGGTGCAGACTCAACGGCGAAGTCTGGAGGGAAGCTGGAGCTATTGGAACCTCCCCCCCAAAAATAAGGTCAACATTTATTCTTTTACCTTTTTGGGGGCTGGTTTGAAGGGAAACCAAAAAAAGACCCCCTATTTATCATGACATGTGGAACCCAGCAATTTGAACGCGTGAAGTTGAAATCCAGTGAAAGCCCTAAACTGGCTTGGCTAGTGTCCCCACACGATATGATAAAAAACATGGGGCACGTCATACAGGCAGAAAGGGCATGATTTCTGAAACAGGGGTACGCCCTCAGTACACGAAAGCCAACGGAGCGGCTGTATCCCCCAAAAAAATCCGGCAGAATGGTGCAAAAAGGCACCTAGGAACAGGACCCCCGAAACGTCAGGTTCCATGTGAATTGGTGGGAGGACAACAAAGCTTTAAGAGCCCTTCTTGCCCCAGCGCCTCGGCCGCAGGTGGAGGCCACGGCGGTGTTCGTTCAGGCGAATGCGGCCATCAAGCTGCGGGCCAACGACGACGCCTACCGCTTCGCGCAGGAGTCCTACAAGCTCTATGAGGCCCGGGGTTCCAGTTTCCGCCGAAGAGGCGAGGGAGGCGCTTCGAGCAAGGCGTTTTGGTGTCAGAAATAGTATGTGTTGGTCAATTTGACTCGGGCGAAAATCCGGGGAGTCGGCGCGTATAGTGGGAGTTCGGACAACCAGATGCTTTCATGGACTGCACGCTCCGTGCATGCTGAGCTGCCATCCAGCAGATGCCGGAGAGTCGGTTCTCGGGTGGCCAGGGCTAAGTGAGGAAGCCTCATCGCTTCACAACTAAAACTCGCCGTTTCTTGGTGGCTCCCAGCCTTCCGGTACCTTAGCCGTTTAGCTGTTTATTGTTTAGTGAGGTAGTTTCCGAATTTAACCCACTAAGAGTTAGTCACTTTTAGTGGGGGATCAGAAAATGGGCGGCCCAGGTTTGTCAGCCAAAAAAGCTCCTTGAGTGAGGGATCTGCTGTGTGGGATGCCGCCCTGGAGATGTTGCAGCCGTGTGGTTTACGACTTGTTCAATGGTAGCACCGTGATAAATTTGGCGGGGAGCACTCTCCAGGATACCGGTCTTTAGAAGATACATATCGTACCTGGCTGGTTCTTGGAGGGGCGAACTGAACAGGGGTTACCTATTTAACCACCAAACGACCAGCACACGATGGAGGTTTCCATGCGCACAGAAGATCATACAAACTCCCACCATGTCTTCTTCAGCCTAAGCCTCGGCCACTCAAAGATGTTTTCGGTACCCCCAAGCCACTACCGCCAGAGGTTGTTATGGGACATGCAACCTCCACATGGCCACTATATAAAAAGGGATGGGGAGTTAGTTCCCTGGGGGTGGTTTGGTACTGGAAACCATCCTGGAGCCAAGCCAACTTTCGGGTATAACCCCCCGGATTTCCCCCGGAAGAAGTGGTTTGGGGGTAGTGGACTGGACACAGACTTCCAGGAAGCAGACGACAAGAAGGGCATGGGTAAGGCTTTGCACATCATGGCCCTCGCGCAGGCACGAGACTCATTTGCCAGACTGCTCCGGTTTATGGCTTGTGTTTTGCTCCCCCCCCCCCAACCAACACCAAGGTTCCCTTTGGGTTGGTTTAATTCAAACACCCCCGAACACTGGGAGCTCAGCAAGAGGTTCGGAAAGAGAGAGGCAGGGGCGTTGCAGGTGCTGCCTGTCATGGTGAAAGTTGTGAAGGTTCTAAACTCTAGCGGAGAGAACGGCCTAATTCCCCATTGGTTGAGAAAAGTATCGGTAGTGCTATGGGATGCTTACTACGCTGAAGGTTGCTGCCGATGGTGATCACTCGTGTGGTGTTGAGTGGCTGCAGTGCAGGTGCTGGTGCTGGTCATTGCTGCGGGCAAACTATTATCTGCTTGTTATTTGGACCCTGTTCTAGTGCACGGTGAAAAGTGGGCCAGAGGCTGGAACGCGAGAACGGGGTCTGTTGACCTGTTGCAGGGAATCAATAATTCCGGGAGTTTGGTTTGCCGGGAGTTTGGTTTGGCGTTGTGATCAGGAGTTCTGTTCGGGCTGCGTTCACCTGGCCTTCTTTGGCGAACTGCCTCCAACCGGGCCCATGAAAAAAAAAAAAAAAAAACGTCGCCGTTTCTATCGGGTACGGGTAGCGCGAAACTCGCCGTTGTTTTTGTTACCAAACTGCTGCGTGCCTACGTCGCCGTCGAAACTTTGAGATCTTCTTGCCAGAGGTCTTCTGCATTGTACAGGGGTTGTGTCCCTTAAACCTGCCACGGGGGGCGGTTTGATGGCAACAAACGAGATGGGCTGAAGAATGATTGGTAAACCGGGAGAATCATGACGCAGTTTGGGTGTGTCTTCCATGGAATCGTCTGGAGGGTAAAGCCCACGTCCGCCGACGGCACGTGAGCCACAATCAAAACCCGCGTAGTTGGAGGTAGTAAGGGGCAATCCCAACCAGAAATGGCTGCAGCCACCTTCTCAATGCTTTACATGGTTCTGCGAAGACCATTTCAGTACCAGGTTTTGATTGTGACTCATTTGTGCGTGTGTGTGTGTGTGTGTGTGTGTGTGTGTGTGTGTTTGTTTTTAGCAAGCACTTGGTGTCTTAATGGTTCAAAAGAAGCACAACATCACGTTTCCTTCCGTCTTTCTTTCTTTCTTCCCTTCCTTCCTTCCTTCCTTCCTTCCTTCCTTCTTTCTCGCGCTTTCGGACCGGCAAAGAAAAGAAACCGTGCCGGGGCCTCGAGGTCTTGGCAGAGGACTTCGAGGATGGGATCAAGACGGCGGAGCAGGCCGCTGTGGAGCCATGGGCGAGGATTTTGTTTTTGGAGTTGGCGCCCTGTTTCTTTGTAAGGAAAACTGGGTCCCCCAGCTAGGTGCCCGACCTCTCACCCCTTTTTTGGTTGGGAGGGTCCCCCTAGTAAAATAGACTACAGAAATAAGTTGGTACGCCTAATTCTAACCTCCCTACTGGAGGACCTAGAAAACAAAAGGAGAACCGTACCCTTCGGGGGTTCCAGCTGTTTGCGCAAACGATGGGCGTTTTTTGGGAAACCCAACCAATCCGCCCAATCGTCTTGCGTCGGCTGCTGGTGGAGAGAGAAACAAAAACACGGAGTCGTTTAAGCCGCCGATTTTTTTCGCGGCCGAAACGCGCGTGAGACCGTGAGGCCCTGGCGATCTTCAAGGAGCTGGCCCTCAGGAAGCTGGAAGCCTTTGAGCCCTGGGCTGCACATTCGCTGGGGGGAGGGATGCCGTTGGGGAGGAAGCCGCCAAAAAAAGGAAAGGAAAAGCAACATAAAGCAACTCAAAGCAAGGGTTGGTTGGGAAGAGAGGCTTCAGCTTGTCAGCTGGCATGGCTTCTGCGGAAGGTGAGGCAGGATCTTTTTGCCAGAAATTTTGCGGTCGCAGTTGAGATCAATCGAGTCTGCGTGGCGCATTCGACATGCATGAATTATGGCAAGGCAAAATGCGTCCTCTCCCGCGATGAGTGCGCAGCCCTTCCTCCCGCATCCAGGTTGGCAAGTAGCTTTGGAGGTATCAGGTATACGCTCAACTTATGGACTCAGACGCACGCACACACGCACGCACGCACACCCCCCCACACACACACCCACACACACACACACAGACATGTCCCCTTTTGTTTCGTTTTTTGAGTAGATGGCGTATCTTACGACATTGATGCATATCAGCGAGTCAGGAACTCTTCATCATTGCCCACTACTACCTCACGCGGAAGATGGGGCGCGAGGCCATTCCCTTTGCTGAGGCCGCTCGCGGGCGCGGAGCGCGAGGTTTGCATCGATTGCTGTGTTTCAAGTCTAGCCTCGGGTAGTCAATAAATGGCCGCTTAAATGTCAGTTGGCAAAAGGTGGATGCGGGCTGAGCCTCCTTAGGAGATGTTGGGCGTGAACAGAGGGCTGCAGGGTTGAGCCCTAACCCCTGAGGAACCGTCCTTGTTTGTTGTTCTTTGTGTTGTGCATTGTTTTGTGGTATTTTTGTTGTTTGCTTTTTCTTGTTTCTCGTTTCTCGCATCTGGTTTGTTTCGTGTTTCGTGTTTCTTGCGTGTTGTTTTGTTGTTTGCTGTTCGCTGTTTGTTGTTCTCTGTCTGCTGTTTGGAGTGTGTCGCTTTGTTTTGTTGCTGTTGCTGTTGTCGTTGTCATTGTTGTGTATGGTCGTGGTTCTGGTTGTCATTCGGGAATGGGTCAACATGAGGGAGTCCCGCAAACTGTTTGGCCTTCAGAAATTGGCTTCCCTAACGTGCCAGAACAAATACGGCACCCTCAACAACCCACAGACCTTGGTACCGTTGGGTGCATCAGGCATTCGCATAACTTCCATTTGCTGTTTTTTTCTTGGTTTTAAAGGGAATCGATTTCACTACTGGACATATATTTTCTCATTTTTTCCCCGGGGGGCGAAAACGCAAATGGAGGCCTTAGGTAAACAATGGTGGCTAACCCCCATTGTTTTTATGGTGGTTTGAACCTCAGGGTGGAGCCTTGGGCGCGAATTGGGCACTCGCATAACTTGAGAAATCTGAGGACGCGCTGGAGCTCTTCAAAGAAGTCGACTTTGATGGCTCGGGCTGGACGTCCAACGCTTTTGACTGCCTGACGCAGGCCTTCATCTGCAAGGCCGGAGCACTCGGTTACGAGGTGGGTACGGGGTTCCCTCCGTTTTCCTTCTTGGCACCTCCAATAGTGGCAGTTTCAATGTCGATATGGAAACCACCGATACAAATTGCAACTGTTGACCCCTGTAGGAGTCGGGATCGGAAGAGTTGGGTGTTGGGGATGAAAGGTTCAACCTCACTTGGCGAATCAACAAGCTTGTGAGCTTTTAAGTAGTTTGTCCAGTTTTGGGCAACCATGTTTGTGGCCCCCAAAATTATGGGTCCTTTGAGCCGAGTTTTGGCATGGAAGCACCTCCTTGGCAAGGTGAGCTCCATAGAGGGTTTTCCTAAGAACCCAACCGCTGTGTTGACTTCAGATTAACCCTGAACTAGACTTTGGTGCATGTTGCTTGGATATGAGGACTTTGACTTTTTGCCAACTGACGGGTTTTCCATCACAGTAAACCACTAAAAGTTAAACTTTTAGCAGGGGAGCAGATTTCGCAACCGAGTAGATAGTTTCCTGATTTAAACGGGAAAGCACCTGTCAGCCAGATCCTCCGGAAAATGCGTTTTCGACCGGAGACTTCGCGAGCGAAGATCTGTTTTTCGATCGGAGACGTCGCTTGAAGCTCCGAGCTCGCGGCATCGCCAGGGCGACGCGAAGAAAGCGATGATCATCTCCGAGGAGGCGGTAGAATATTTCGAGCGGAAGAAGGACAAGCGAGGAGCGGGGTGCTGGACGTTGAAGTTCAGGGTTGTGGAATCAAGGGGTTTATTCCCACTTCTGTGATACAAGGGAATCTCCCCTGTATATGGGGTGTTAGTCTTTGGGAAGCCCTTTTTTTGTATCACTCACAGAAGTGGTCATTTCCCAACCCTGTTGAAGTTTGACCCGAGTCTCCGAGGTGTGGTTCCTTGTCCGGCAGAAAAGGGTTCCCGGGTTTGCGGGGTTGGTGGGAAAACACAAGAGACACGTTTGTTGGATGCCCCCCCCCGAACTGCCTTTAGGAGACACGTGGTTTTAGACATCACCTTGGCTAAAAGGTGAGTTTCTCTTGGAGTTTTGAGGGAAATGCTGTGGATGGACAAAATCCGTTCGCACCAAGTAGAAACCATGACTCAAGCCATTGTTTGTTGGTGTTTACAGGGGAATCCTTCTTCCAAAGTCTCTTAGGTGGTGCCTAAGAGGATTTCGCGACCATCCACAGTATGTAGGGAGGCCGTTCGATTTGGGTCCTGACGGCCTGGCAGGACAAGTGATGGCGCTCAGCACACTGGCGAACTCCTACTGTGCCAAGGGCGTGCCGGCGGCAGTACTCATTCGGACTGGCGAGGTTCGGGGTACGACCGGCTTGACTCATGTCACTACTAGCTACCTATACACAACTAGGTCTGCCAGTAGTGCCCTGTTACCATTTTTGGGGGAGGATTCCCCTACTAACATAGACTACAGAAAAAAGTTGGTACCCCTTATTCTATCCTCTCTCGGGGGGGGACGGGACCTAGCTAACTACTATACACAAGACACAAGATGTCGTGGGACGTTGATGGGTTGTCAAGAAGCCTGAGCACCTGTAAACCCGTTTCTTGACGGAGCGTTGATTGGTATTTCCTTGACTTTGGCGTTTGAACTGCTCGCCATGAGCACAAAATGCCCAGCTTCGCCAGAGCTTTGGATGGGCACGAACGCTCTGTGGACTAAGGCGACTATGAGCAAGCAGTTCCGCTGATTGAGGAGACCCGCGAGATCATCAAATCCCTAGATGATGCCAGGCCCGGCTCGCTCGCTAAAAAATGCCCATGATCGAATGTATAGCCTCCCAACATATCAGAAAAAGGCATGCAACCTGGTCAGTCGGTCTCTGAAAACCTGCAGTCTCCGCAAGGTGGGAGGCCAGCATCCTGCACCAGCTCGCCTCCGTCCACATGCCACTCGGTTCGGCGTGGGTGCAGAACCGCCCGGAGATGCTTGATTTCCCCAGAGGAACTCTGTACGGGTACTTTGGTGTTTTCCCCAAGTTAGTAAGTCAGGTTACAACCCACTCATTTGTCCCCCTGACCGGGGTTAACCTTGTCATAGGGGGTGGTAATCCGAGCGGCTAACCACTTAACTACTTGCTAACTTGGCCGAACATCCAAGTAGGCATCGTTTATTGCATGAGGTTTTCCTTTGTAGATATACACGTGCTCCCCTGATTGCTATATTGGCAGCTTTCCAGTTGTTTTCGGGACCCCTGTGAATCAGCAGCTCGCTGTCGAAGGAAAGCGGCAGCTGGGCCTGCCACGACAAGATCAGGGGACCAATTTCTCAGACCTCCGCTGCCCCGATGTCCTTTTTGCTTTGGAGAGGGTTCCCCTTAAAAATCAACTATCCAAAACAGGAAGGCCATGGGGAAATAGCCCACCCCCCCCTTCCTGGATTTGTTGTGCCACTTGGGGTCTGGGATGTGTCTCGCGGGTTCCAAACAAATGGGTTCGCATGTTTCGCGCCTTGCTCCGATTTCGGAACCCGGTTCTGATCGAAACCAATCTGGTCGCCAAGAGGCTGCCTTCGCCCGATTTGGCGGATGCTGACCCCGGACGAATAGACCCCGGTGCATTGATATGGGGGTGTTCCCCTCCAAAAGTGATAAATCCCCACTAAAACCAGGGACACCCCCATATGAAGAAACAGGGGTTTGTTAATCCGGGGTCAACATCATGCATCGCCCCAGTACGTCGAGACGAGCAATTTGCGTGAGGCAGAGGTTATGCATTGCTTGAGGCGCGGGACATTCATGGATGCGTACCTCCAGAGCCTTTCATTTGTTTGACTAAATGCTGGCCTCCTTTCTATTTTTAGTTGAATACCAACCAACAGTTCTAGTGGTACCCTCCCCATTCCGTTCACGGATCCTTCTCTTCAGCCAAACGCCTGGAAAATAAGTGGTTTCTAAAGAGAAGGATGGGAGAGAATGGACAAGGAATCAAACATGTGCCAACTCTGGGACTTGAGGCCTGCCTTATTCTAGCCTTTGGAGGAGCCAGTTTAGTTGAATGCCAAGCAAAAAGTTTGGTTCCGAATTCTGAGGGGTTGCGAGCTCACCCCACTTCTCCTTTTCGCGGCCGAGGCTGCGAGAGTCCTATGCGGAGGCGGCCTTCGCAGCAGAGGAGGCCATGTCCATCTACCAGGACCTGCGGGTTTTTCTAGGTGTACCTTCCTGTTTCTTTTTATGTTTTTTTCTTTTTTTTCTAGTTGTTTTTTTGTTTTTAAACAACAAAATGTGATTTTCCTTTTGGTTCTCCTTTGAAGCCACAAATCCAGGGGTACCTTCCATTTCCATTTTGATCCCAGGGATCTGAATCTTTCTAGAAAACCTCCTTTGAAACCCAGGGAAAACGGATCCGGTTTTTGACAAGAACCATGGTTGAAAAGGATGGGGAATCAACCTCTAGAGTTGTGCCTAGTTTTTTCCTCGAGCCAGGCGAAATTTCGTTTGTATGCCGTGTTTCTCCCAACCGCTGAAAGCTATGGATAGGCCCAGATAGGCGGTAAGGCGTGGTTTGGGGCAGCTGTGAGGAAGGGTTGCGGCAGGGGGGTTCCGGGGTTGTGGGGATATCACCTGTTGTTTTCTTGAATTGGTTTATTTTTGGTGGGGTATATACCCCGACACCACGACCCAGGAAAAATGGGGTAGCCAGGAAAAGTGGTGGCTATATAGTTGGCAGGAGCTGGGTGTGTTTGCTTGAGTCTGAATTGTTTGGTGGTTTGGATTGGCTCAAGTGTTTGAATGCTTGTTCAGGGTTAATGGGAAACAATCCCTTAACCTCCAAACCACCAATTGAGAGGAAGCCCACACGAGGCAAGGGGAACCAAGCATAAATTTCGGTTTGGGTTTCCCTTTGAATCATGGTGGTTTGATTAAGGGAACCAACGGGAAGCCACCCATCTTGGCATGCGTGTATTTGTGTTTGGGGATGCCGTTTTTGCAGGTTGTTTTCGCCTCAAAAATGGTCAAACATCTAGGGGTACCTTCCATTTCCATTCTTTCCAGTCCAGGGATCCGAATCTTTCTCGAAAACCTCCTTTGAAACCCAGGGAAAATGGATCCGGTTTTTGAAAAGAACGTTGAACAGAATGGACAAGGAATCAACCCCTGGAGATACCTGATGGTGTCAACCCCCCCTTCCCCCCACCCCAAAAAAAAACAACGACTACAACCTCCCATTGTTGATGGAAATCAACCCCTAGAAAGCAAGGACACTCGTTTCCGCCTGGATCTAGGTGCCCAAATCCCAATTTGCCACAGGTCTGCGGTTCGCTCCCGTCCCCACCTTCCCCCCTTGGTATGGCAGGTGCCTGAGGGAAAATGTGTTGCAAACTGTGGCTGTTTGGTGAAAATTGGGTACATTTGAATTTTTGTGGAGTCCTGTTTTGCAAAGCTGTCTGTTTCGAGTATGTGGATTTGTAGGGTGGGAAAATTGGCCATGCGCCTGGGCAAATGGCGCAATTTTGGGGTTAAACTCCAAAGTTCAGGCCATTCCGACCTGGGCCGATTGGCACGTTCACGACATGTGGGTCAGAAATAGGGTAACCCCAAAACGGGTTGCCCTGGTCAGTGGAAACGTGGACAAAACCCACGTTTTGTTGGTGGCTTAATTTTGACCCATACCCAAAATATCAGACAAAGAGGGTTCAGATTGGGTTCCATTTGAATAGGAACTTGTTTGTATCTCCCCTTGCTTGGTTCTAAAGGGAACCTATCACTACTGGACTTATGTTTTCCAACATAAATTGGGGAGGCTTCTTGGTTTTAAAGGGAAGCTATCGCTACTGGATTGTTTTTTTAAGTGCGCGAAGAAGCCGCTGGAAGTTGGGCATGGATCGAAAGTTCCCGAGGACCTGAAGGATAGGCACAGCGAGGCGCGCTTGGGCGGGCGTGAGCGCAGGGGGCTTGCGCTCCCTGCGAGAAATCAGCAGCCCAAAGACTCCGATTTGGTTAGGAATCTGTTTCTCCTTTTGGCTTTATTTTTTTTCCAGGGGTCTTAACCAAATGGAAGTCAAGTGCGGGTGAACAATCAGCAGCCCAAAGACTTCCATTTGGTTAAGAATATGTTTCCCCTTTTGGTTTTAAAAGGAATTTATCACTGCTGGACATTTTTTATTTTTTCCAGGGGTCTTAACCAAATGGAAGTCAAGTGCGGGTGAACAATCAGCAGCCCAAAGAGGCCGCTTGTCAAGTGATTTGCCTGGAAAGATGTCGGGGGAAGTATAGGGGACCCTGGTTTCATGGGAAAGGCACCCGGATTTTATGGTTTATATCGGATCCATCTTTTATCTCATCTTGTGAGATGGCCGCACGCGACCAGGCCCTGGCGATGAATTATATCACCCAGGTGGCGATTGCGAAGAACGACTACGAGAAGGCCGATGCTTGCACTGACCGCCGCCACAACTCGAAGTGTCTTTTGCTAAGGGTACCCCCCTTGTTGGGCTTGTTTAAAGGGAAGCCACAAGAAGAAACACAATTTGTTGGGGTATACAACGACACGCCCACGTGTATGATTTTCCGGCAAGATCAATTCCACGCGCGGAGGTGCGCGGCCTGATGCCATGTCTCAAACAAACGGGGGCCGTGACTCCCCGCAGGTTACTCTTTTTCCAACAATCAGTGAAGGTGACAAGGCGGTTTGGAAGACAGTCCTCTTCCAAAGGACCCTGATCCGCTCTCATGTTTGTTAGACTCACGATTGTTAGGAAAAGGGCATAGGTGTCCTTTCTGGTTGGTTCGGTTAAAACAAATTGAGGGCGA